GGAAAGGGATGCGCGACTAATCTTGAATAATTACTACTGTCAATCAAAGTCATGTGATGTTGGACCGCTGAAACAGGATGCATCATAGGCTACGCAAGTGATTAACACCATGCATTAGAATAGCCACACCTCCAATTCACACTTGCCCAGGGCAAGTGAATTGGGCCTTTAAGAACCGCTAGCCCAAATTATTTGATACTTGGTACGTGGGTGGACTTCTCTCAGATTATTATTTTGTGATTATATCTTTAATTCTCTAATTTTGATAAATATGTTTGTCATTTTTGGTAAAAAGTGATATTTTCGAATTCTTGTTAAAAACCGCAAGTCCAATTGCTTAGATATTACATAAGTAAGTACTACATGTGGACCTCTCTCAGAATTGTTCTTTTCGTGATGATACCTTTAATTCTCTAATTTTCATGAATATTTTTGGTAAAAAGTGATATTTTCGACTTCTTGATAAAAACCGAAAGTCCAATTGCTTTGATATTACATATCTAGGTACTACATGTGGACCTCTTTCAGATTTGTTCATTTCGTGATGATATCTTTAATTCTCTAATTTTCATGAATATTTTTTGTAATTTTTGGTAAAAAGTGATATTGCTTTGATATTATATATACTACATAGGTACTACAGGTAGACCTCTCTCAGATTTGTTCATTTCGTGATGATTTTATTCTTCAATTATCTAATCATTTTAATGAATATTTTTGATAAAAAGTTATATTTTCAAATTTTTTTTGAAAAAGCAAGTCTGGTTGCTTTAATACTATACATATTGTTCATTTTCTGGTGATATCTTCAGTTCTTTAATTGAAATGTGCATTGATACCAGCGGAGCTATCTCAGCCGACAGGCTGCTAGTTTGTATTTAAATTTCTGTCTGTTTTATAAACGTGATACAACCGGTTCATTGCGAACACAAACTACTGTTTCTGCTCTCAGCGTGAATCGCTGTGTAGTTATGTTGACACTCAGACTAGTTGTCTGAGATTGACGCTAAATGAAAACAATCATTGCATTTGTTTTCGAAAAACAAAATAATCTACTTTCAGATTTAAAGAATGCGTTGATGAGGTCGCCCGTGCAGCACTCACTGGGACGTACTCGCCAGACGACGAGATACTGGTTCACATGAAAGCCCAAGCTATCGTGGATTGTTTTATAGAATCACAACTGCCACCAAAACTGCAGGTACGACAAAGTTTTTCACAAAAATGCCATTATTGTGTTCAGTTGCCTATCCCACCTTAAGACGAGTTTCGTTGCATATGTGCCATTTAAATTTTCGATGGAGTGTTATACTTCTGGTTAGGGTGGTGTAAAACATCACAGGTAGCAGAAACTTGGCCCTGCGTGGACATCGTAACACTAAGATAACGCACCTACAGCTAAAAAAAAAGGCCTCCTATCGTGAAAACCATAATGTATAATCTATCCGTGTTTTATCCCATCGGTACACAGGCAGCGATTATTTGGCATTTTTAAGTGTGTTCAGTTGTCTAACTTAAAGGGGAACCGCTCAATCCCATGGATTGCACCAAAGAATCATGGGACACTATTGTTTATGTTGTTTACAATGTTAATCTTTTGTTATCCATTGTTATTTTAATCCAGAAAGTAAATTTGTTGTGAAATTAATCTTAACTGGAAGGTGCCCCTATAACGCAATGTTTTTTTTCCAGATCAACGTATCCCAGGACACAGCGGATGCCATTTTGGATGCATACCACAATGGTGTTATAGAACGGGGTCTTTTCCACGATGCAGCCGTCTCAATCTTCACAGTTCTTCTCCACTTTTGGAAAAAGTAAGTTCATGATAGTTGTTCGGTCACGATAGTATTATTATAAAACTTACTTACATTGTGCAACTTATGCAGTAAGAACCCACATATTTAAAAGGGTGATTTACGCATGCGCATTGGTTGCTACGACAACAACTATGTTTATTCATGATGGGTATATATGTTCGACATAATGACCGTCACATGCCTTACAGATTCTGTAGGGAGCGGTTTAAACCGAAACATTCGGAGAGTAGGAACACGATTGTGCCCCACGTACCCCCGAAAAGGGTCTCGAAGAAGCAGCCAAATTATCTTGAAATCAATAAAAAGAAACTTTACAAGATGGTGGCTGGAGCAATAGGTACGTCATTATTACGTCACGGAATGTATGTAGACGGAGTTGGACATAATTGAGAGACCGACTATCATTCGAGCTCAAAATATGCGATTGCACTACAAAGGGAAGCGCTAATAAAACTATAGGGAAAGCCTCAATACTACTAGCACGTAGTACGAAAAGGGGGCAGCCGCGAAACTAGCGATCTTGCGAATGACTGAAAAGAAGCTCATGAAGTGAAAGTTTTAGTTTGTGTAACATGGTAAATGAATGTCGTATAGATTGTTAACGAACATCATGTAGGATATATACAAAGTGATGCTGCATTGTTTGAGTCATGATTGAGTAAATCAGTTACAAAAAAACGCTCATATTTTAGAAACCGCGCCCACTTTTGCTCAATCACGCCCAAATTTGTAAGTCGATGTTAACCAAACTTCGAGTTAGGGGCAACATAAATTGTTACTCTTGTTTAACGTCTATATTTAGTAATTCGAACTTTTAATTAACAATTAACCGAACTTCCGAGTTATGGGCAACCTAGATTTTATGTTTGGTTTAACGTTGTATGTTGCCCGTAACTCGAGGTCAGTTAACTATTAATTAAAGTCCGAGTTACTAAATGTGGACGTTCAACAACAGTAACAATTTATGTTGCTCGGTCAACAAAAATAAAACTTTTTGCATGGTTTTTGCAAAAAAATAGTGTCAGCGATTTGACATGATTCTTTTCCCAACCTGAGATTGTTGAGCAACGGACTACAACTGCAATAATTTTAGCTGATTATTTTACTTATTATTTTGTTTTCAGACGACGATCCAATGATTTCGTTCAGTTTCTCACATGGTTTGCGATTGATATTACCACCCCAGATTCCCAAAGATCTAAGAGTTGACGAAAAAAGACCTATGTTCCTCTACAACTATAACCAGCATGGTCGCCAATATTCGAAATTCGTCGATGATAAGGGATGCAGATTCTCGCGGCTTGCAGATCTTCGAAAACTGAAGCTACCAGGGACCGGAGACTTCGGTGAATCGTCATCATCCTTACCATGGCTCCCCGCTTCGCCTGGCGGTAGAGGGCGAATCTCATCTCGAAACGCAAGTCGGAACACGGCGACCAGTTCAAGCACAGAAGAAAGCATATGATTCATATATAAAACAACTTAAATTAAATTAAATGAAACTCATTATTATCGTTAATTGCACTGTTTTGATGTTGAGTTTTTTTTTTTTACCGTAGATACTAGTTAAAGCTACCATGCATTGCGTAAAGTGCATATCGTTCCACCGACTCTTTCAGTCGATCTTTCAAGTACGAAACCACAAAGTCGTTTCATATATATAATTGTGTTACGAGGAAAATACTGTAAATTGAATTGTTTGTAAGTATAGTGTTATAAAAAGGCACTGTGAAAAGCTATCATCACGGGCAGCCACAAATACACACCTTAATTTGTTGATTTCATCATTTCACAAACTGAATAAAATTAGATACCGGTAATCGTATATAAAACCACAGCCCATAATTTAATTTTAAGCATATTGATATATCGTAGACAGCACAACGTGGAGACTCAAGGGTCTATGTTTTAATTGGATTGAGTAAGTTATAATATCATTCCCGCTTTGAAGTATGAAACACAAATAAGTGTCCCGATAGCTGTGGGCCCATAGCTCTTCTTGTGTCGGTCTTTAGTCTGTGTGGTGGTATTTTATTCATTTCTGATACATTTTACAGCAAGTATCAGAAGTATTGGGGCAGCCAATTTGCAAACTCGCTAGTGAATTGGCTAACTGCTTGGGTTTTGACTAAACGATTGACTTTCGCATCTCGCTGGCGCCGACTTGTGAGCGCGTCCACTCTGGGCGAGTCTATATTGCAGTAGAGGACATAGAAAGCTTTTTACGCAGCCTGTCTAGATTCCCCTGAGTAATTTGAGCCCCCGGTTTGAGCCTGAAAAATAACCAGTCAGCTGGCGTACAAGTGATAATATGATAAATGCGATTATTTCACCGATATTATATGGGGGTAGCCATCTTGAACACTGCTTGAAACTACATAATGTAAATAGTCAAGTTGAGAAACATTTTCCTACAAATCAGGGAAAAAATAACAAACTTTCACATACAAAAGATCCGTTGGGGTAAAATTAAGCCGACCGCTAAAAAGTCATTCGTCATTTTTACGTGGATACGAAAGAAACACTTTCCCTAGTATATTTGAAAGCGAAATCGCCACCTAACTGTAAAACCGTCGCTGATTAGCTCCCCAAGTATGACGATCATCCCCTACCTACCGTTATATAGATTTGCCGTATACTAAGTGGGCGTGGCCGCAAGACGACGCCAGCGAGATTCGAAAGCCAACCGTTTAGTCAAAACCAAAGCAGTTAGCCAATTCGCTAGCGAGTTTGCAAATTGGCTGCCCCAATACTTCTGAGACTTGTTGTAATAGTGTCATTAAATTTGTTACTATAGGCTTTCGTAACACAAACGCGCAATGCCACCCACCTAGCTGTGGGTCCTGGCGTAACTCGTTATTACACATACTATTGTCGCCCGTGAACATGATGTCGACTGATCAAGTACGCCGAGTTTGATTTTGCGCAACGGACGGCAAATTAGGAATCTTTGCAAAATAGTGACCGAGTCGCCAATGGATGCTGTTTCACATTTCTTACTGGAACCTCACAGCGTCTCATATTGTCATCGTGTGAAGTGTTGCTTAGATTAACGTGTGAGCCCCGATGGAACTCGTGGTGATGCCAAGTTTATAAGAACAAATGCCAAGTTTATTAGAACAAATATACTAGTACATTAAAATAAATCTTATTAAAAGGCGATAGTCGTCGCGCAGCGCATGTGCGACATTTGTGTTGATAAACATTGATTTTCCCATATATAAATGAGCTATTCTAATGGGAATCACAGGTATGAGGTTTGACCTGGGCGCGGACTTGCACTAATTACCGCCGATGACTCCTTCGATACCTTCCAATCACCTACAAACACCTAACTAAAGCTTGGTAACGTCTCAGTTTGTACTCGTTGGTCTGTCCATCAGTCAAAGTCGCCAACTTTGTTTATATGAGACCCATATATCTCGCGCATGCGTGGCGCGACGACTACGCCCTTTAACATAATTGACAACATTCATTCAGTGCAACCGAGTCTAGAAATAACTAAAATAAATGTCCCAAATAGCCTCAACAAGGGTAAGTGGGATATTCGCATATAAAATACGCGCAATCACGGTCATGCAACAAATGAGTTACCGTGATGCGACATATTTTTGCTACTTTCGATTATTCGATGTAAAACCTTCTCTCCAGGGCTCGGCTGCACTTTAATTTCCAATCCCGCCAAAACAGTCCGAGACAAACCTCAAATGTACAAAAATGACGCTCTGCGCACTAAATCGGTCCCAAAACAGACATATCTCGATATCTGGCTATATTAGTTATTTGAAAACTTGCGCTTCATGTGTTTAGGTTAAAGCCTGACTGACTTTGTAACCCCGCCCCTCATCCCCTGAATAAATTAAAAAATAATAATAATCATAATAAATCATGCCAAAATTTCTCTGTCTTGACATGCAAACAAATTCCAGATTATCGTGACAACATATTAAAAATATTACCCGCTTTCAAAAAATTCCTCTCGGAATAGATATTTCCGTCGATGAACGATGAAGCCGTCTCCATGGCTCAACTGATGGAGTACTGATCTACGGGAGCAAACACGCGACGTTCACCGCTAAGAGGTGTGCATTCTGCGGTGAGCCAGTGTGTGGTACATGATGTCTCTGTAAACGTCATATAAAGATATATTGATAAAGCACCCTTCAAAACGTAAGTACATGGTGGTCCCGATGTTGGCGATATCGCGGTGTCACGTGCCACTCACCAAATATGGTATTCCCGGCCAGACCCGCCTGGATCCCCCGGGGCCCACGTAAAACCCAATATGAACCCTAACCATAGACATTTCCCTAACCAAATGGCAAAGCAAGAATTAGCATTAAATTTATTATCTCTTTCACTTACGAGACGGACAATCTTATATAATAATAATCACACGTTATAATTATACATAACACAAAAAGATTGCCAGCGAAAAAAGAAAAGAAAAAAACGGTAATATATCCATGGTTATGTAATTTAGTGTCTTAGTTTATTAAAAATAATCGCTCACATCTCCCTTCTGTAGGCGTCCACTCTACGCATTTAAACAGTGACGAATTTATCGCTATTTGAGTTGACTTTTTACTAGTCGCTCCTCAGTACTGTAAATAAAAGGACAAACACACGCAGCGCGGGCGTGCTGGTGTGATGCATGACAAAATAGGTCTTCGTATATTATAAGAGAATATTTCAATGACACCGACATCTCGTTTAAAAATATTAATTGGCTTATTTAGGTCCCGTGTTATTACAAACGATTATTTTATCCCACTGGCCACTGGCGTAGCACACCAGCAACGTTTTGCCCAGCTTATGTATGCAAACTTGGTGACGTCATCTGGGTCAAATGTCAAATAAGTCAGTGTCAATTCTCTCACACACATACACACACGCACTGCACCATAAAACTCAGAACTAGTCGGGTCCGTGTACTTTCTCCTTAATACCAGCTGTTTAAAGGAATTGTTCATGGAATTGAATATAACTGTGCTGTGGTGAGTATAGTTCACAATGTCACTATTGAAATTCAAACTGAATTTTTATCTCGTATTGTAGCAGACGAAAAAAATGTGTCGTTCCAACTTTCCCTCCCTCTCAAGAGGAACGAACCCGTTTCCGGGGTTATGGTGTAGTGGGCCGGGTATTTCTCGTCATAAACTATAGTACAATACGTTCATTGCATTCATTGCGAGTGTTTAGTGTACTTGTATTCATCAATACAGGATATATTTTGCGTAATTTCCTTAGGGGACAAGCATTCAAAATCGGGGGGGGGGGTGTGACTGGAACAGCATTCATGACCAGAGCAATTTTTTCGCGATGTCTTGTCTGAACGTTGTCATTTTTTTAAATGTGCCAATATATTTCCTCTGCAACACCTTGGATGCAATTTGTTTTTCTCTCAGCATCTAGTTTGCATTTTTTTAGCATATTTTCTAGCCATCCCGCGGTTTCAAATGATCGACACTTCATAGTACACCGAGCGAGAGACAAGTTTGAATGACAAATGGACGTGATGACGTAGGAGCCCTAGTATGGTTGTTTTCAATATATTTACATTACGCAGTTTTGTCACAGTGACAATAATTCACAGACTGATATAAAAAAATGTATTTATCACCTAATTTAAGTACTCAGATATGAAAGGCATTCGTGAGTAATATTAGTCCATCTTTGAACAGAGAATCTATGTCTGTGTGCTTTATGAAATTTTTTTCAGTTGTTTTGCCTGAAAACGTACTACAAAAAGTGAAAAAAATCGTGAAAACGTAAATACAAACATTTTTAACACGGTCTACGCTGTGCAAAGTAAAGTTATTGTAGTGAAATGATGCATGTGATAAAGTAAAACTGGGGAAAATAAATAAATGTTTACAAATATAGTTAGGAAAGAAAGAATAAACACTGATTTCACATTTGTCAGTTTATAAAGTTAGTAGTAATTTATTGTATAATCTAATGTCTTTGCAACTTTGAAAGAACTACACTTTTCTAACATAAGTTGTGCATATTTTAACTTAATTGACCAAACATTTTCTTAAGATTTAGGGTGTAAAAACATGTTATTAAACATGTTAAAGTAACTAGGTGATTTGAACATAACTGTGTTAACTGACAGGGACTTGTAGTTCAAACATATTTGAATATGCAAATGAGTCATATACAAATCTGTGTTGTGCAATGATGATAAGAAGTGCATATAAAACAGTACAGAATTCACCTTAAATGCTGAAAACTCAATGGCAACTATATCCGTGGAACTGCATGGTGATGTATGGCTATTGCCAAGAATCTCTGATGTGGATATCTAGTGAATACCATAACTGTTGAATTTATTAAAGTACACATAACTTGACATTCATGTGCCTACTCGCCTAGCTTGTCAGTT